AAGTTCTCCATAATTGTAGCAATCCATCTCAGAGATTGGCTTCCTTCTAGAGCTAGTGAAGAACTTCTTCTTCTTGCCATCAAACTTGATGCCACCCTTGTTGAGCTTCTTTAGCATCTTGGCGGTTTTTCTCACCATGAGAGCAAGGCTTGCATCATAAACTTTATCATCACTTGAGCTCTCATACTCAAGCCTTGCTTTGCCCTTGCTAAGTCCTTTTCTTTCTTCTTGTTAGAGGATGAGCCATCTTGAGGAGTTATGTGCATGTACATCTCATGAGCATTGATCTTTCCGAAGATTTGTGTCGGTGTAGCGGTGGAAAGATCACCTTGATGAAGCACGGTCACAATGTGCCCATATTTGTCAATGGGGAGGACACTCAAGATCTTTCTTACAACATCAGATGGTTGCATTTGAGTTAGTCCAAGCCCATTGACTTCCTCTACAAGAACATTCAAACGTAAATACATTTCATTAGCACATTCTTTAGGAAGTATTTCAAAAGAGTTAAGCTTTTTCATGATAAGATGATAGCGTTCCTCACGCTCACTTTTTGTTCCTTCATGGAGCGCACAAACGTCCGACCATAGTGTATGGGTGTCTTTGTGGTTCCTCACCCGGTTGAACACATCATTACAAAGGCCTCTAAATATGGTGTTTCTAGCCTTTGCATTCTATTTTTCGTAATTCAACTCATCGTCTTGTGGGTGTGCAACATCTCGAGGTTTTGGGAAACCTTGTGAGGCGGCTCTAAGTATTCCAACATCTAGAGCTTCTAGATACGCCTCCATGTGGATTTTCCAATATGGAAAATCACCCCCTCAAACATAAGAGGAGGTCCATCCCCGTGAGACATCTTTCTCTAGGCGGTTAAGCCTAAATATGTGAGCACAAGGCTCCGATACCAATTGAAAGGATCAATATGCCCAAGAGAGGGGGGTGAATTGGGCTAATTCTAAATTTCTTTGCAATAATTAAACTCTACGGTTAGCCCAATTAACCCCTTGTGCCTAAAAAGTGTTTCTATTGATCTAACGCATAAAAGTTTAGCACCTTAAGTTCCAATCCTACTCTAGCATTGCAATTCTAGGAATGTAAATGACAAGAATTGAATTGCTCAAAGTAAATGCTCAAAATAAAGAGAGAAGGAGGAACGCGGCGAAGTTTTGCCGAGGTACCTGAGAGTCGCCACTCCCCACTAGTCCTCGTTGGAGCACCCGTGCAAGGGTGTAGCTCCCCCTTGATCCGCGTAAGGATCAAGTGCTCCCTACGGGTTGATTCTTTGACTCCCCGTCATGGTGAATCACTCACAACCGCTCACAATTTGAGTTGGGTCATCCACAAGCTCTCCGGATGATCACCAAGCTCCCAATCACCACCAAGCCGTCTAGGTGATGACGATCACCAAGAGTAACAAGCACGGACTCTCACTTGACTACGACAAGCCTAATGAGAAGGGTGGATGCACACTTTGCTACTCTTGATCTCACTAATGAGGGCTCTCTTTGGGATTCTCAAATCTCAATCACCTCACTAGGACCTTGCTCTTCTTGGCACTCTCAAATGTGTTTCTCAGCTGTTGGAATGAGCAAAAGTACCACCACACACGAATGAATGTGGTATTTATAACACCGGCTGAAAAACGAACCGTTATGTGCCTCTGCGGGGTGACCGGACGCTCCGGTCAGTTCACCCCAAACTCCAGTGTTTAAAGTGTGACCAGACGCTGGCCAGCGTCCGGTCAGAACCTTACTGGAGTCGACCGGACGTTGGCTCTCAGCGTCCGGTCACTTCATCTCTCAGCGTTCGGTCGCACCAGACGAAACCACCTTGGTCAAATGAACTGACCGGATTCTGAGCTAGCGTCCGGTCAGTATTTAACCCTCCATTCACTTCCAACTCTCGATCATACGTGAATGAAGTTTGCTCTATTAGATCTAAGGGCTACTTTGGAGCTACATAGTGCTAGTTTTAGCAAGTGTGCACCACACCTAACCCACTAGACTCACCTAGGTCAAGCTATCCGTCCATACATCCCTTAATAGTACAGCCAAAGGAAAAACAAAGTTCTAAACTACTCTAAGTGTCTCTTCAACAGCAACCGACACTTAGAACTAGTCCATCCTTAACCTTGTCGTCCATCTTTTGAAAACCGAAATGATTTTCATCGTAGGGGCATGACCACCGTGATTGCCCAATCGATCTCCATTACCATGACCTATCTTAATTGCCTCTGCAAAACACACGTTAGTCATAGTAATCACGTATTGTTATTAATCACCGAAACCAACTAGGGGCCTAGATGCTTTCAATCTCCCCCTTTTCACGTGAACAGTGTTTTCAGACAGAACAGTATTTTTCTCTCACAACAATCAACTAGAATAATGTTTTGGCTTGTTTTCAGTCCTGCCGAACAGACCCTACGTTGTCACTGCACGCTCCTACTTTCGTCGTCCTTTCAAGTTTATTTGCATGTATATCAATTATCAATCAATCATTCCTTGCCACACAGCTTCAGCCGTAAAGTAAACATTTTTAGAATAAACACAAACCATCCCGACCGGCTCCTGAGGATTATTTAGAACCAATTCAAAGTCCACCTGAGTAGTGGCGAGATCAACGAGGCTAAGCAACCCAAGCGCGACCAGCAGATCACTAATCTCTCGAAGACTTGAACGCGTCTCCACCTGTTCATCAGTCAGTCCAATATTCCATTGCAAGCCGGTCGGCGTCGAGCAAATAAATCAGAATTCAGAAAAATAATACACCACATTCCTTCGGTCCCATTCATCGTCAAAGTCAAATAATAACCATTTCTTCCGCTTAATTTAATGCAGTCTGATCGCAGATCACGACCAAGCGGCCTCTCTCGGAGTGAGACCGCCGTACGTTGCGCTGCCTGTTTCCTGCCGTATCTGCAGTCTGCACAAGGCGGGCATTATGCTATGCCGAGCCCGTACACACGGAAAGAAGCGCAGAAACCCCAGTTCCGTACGCCATCTGCGCCTGCACAGTCATATATAGGCGGTGCACAGGCCGCGCGGACGACGGCACCAAGCGGAAAATAAAGCTCACAAGCCGGCCAGACCAACAAGTGGGGTAGCTATAGCTAGAGAAGAGATCGAGAGCGGGGGATCGAGGCCGTGCTTGGTGCGGCCCAGCCCCGCGCGCGCGTATACATACATGGCCGGGCTGCAGCGGTCGAGCGAGACGTACCGGCGGTCCGGGTCGTCGGGGACGGTGTGGGAGAACAAGCACCAGTCGGCGTCGGGCGAGCTCACCAGGCCGGCCCGGCCCAAGGATGCGCGGCAGCAGCGGAGCGGCCACGGCGGGTACAGGACGACCGGCCACGTGCAGCCGGCGCTGGACCCGCCGTCCCCGCGCGTCGCCGCCTGCGGCTTCTGCAGCCTCTTCGGCAAGGACAAGCATCAGCCGCCCCGCCGCGCCAGCGGCAAGGCCCGGCGCCGCTGACGAGTTCGGCTGGCCGGGCGTCCAAGGCTCCCAGCTCTTTGTCCATTCACGCTATACTCTTGTTAGGCGTTAGCTACTGTATTTTTCTTGCTGCTATAGCTTCGGTCTTGTCGTTATAGCAACTTAGAAGATACATGCATGATCAGAGGTCACAGAATACTGAAAAGTTAGTCTAAAAAAAAGAATACTTATCCTGTTCACTTATGCTGAAATTTGACTTATAATGATTTTTATGATGAAATATTGTGAGAGGAAATACTGTTCCATGGCTGAAAAATAGTGCTGAATAAGCTCAAGCGAATAGGGAATAGGGCGACTTAAAAAATTTGTGTTCATGTTCGTATGAAATGGATCGCATTGTGCACCGTTATTCCCTCCTCTCATGATACAGTGGATTGTACCTTTTGATTCTATCGCAGGAAATCGATCGCCTAGTCGCGTATTTACTGAAAATTTAGGCGACGTACTGACACCCAGCTGAAGGATTCTGAACATTCTAGTATCTTGCTTGTGACTCTCTCTGTTCTTGTAGCCTTAGACAGTTAGACTCGCCTGCAGTACTAATCACAACTTGACGACACTAATGTCCTGTAGTTCTATATGTTCACTGTATGTATCCTCATGTCCCTTTCCTGATGCCTTCTTTTTCTTATTCGTACATATATGGAACAAATCAGCTCCCTGTTTGTTATTCAACTCTACTCCATTAGCAGATAAGCTATATTTTTCATGAGTTAATAATGATAACAAGGTTGGACTGGACTTGAATCCCCAGACAGTTCAGACTCTGGAGTCCTTATTCAACCACGCAGAACAATTTTTTCTCCCATTCAAACGATAGCATCATGCCCTCAACTTGCCAGGAAACTAGATGCAGCTGAAATGTCGCTTTAGAAAACCTACAGAGTTGAGTTGATTTTGAGACAATCATTGGTCATACATGGAATGTGTAATTTATTTAGTTAGAATACTTTAATTAAAAATTGCAAAAAAAATATATTCTAATTATATATCAGGTCGATCTTATTCTTGACCTAGCATTGAGTTTTGCAGTTTCCATTGTATCTCGTGTAAGTAACAGATCCGAGCTCAAGTCAGTGGAAGTTGTGGGTGTACACCCAAACCACCCTAAGTCATTAGAGGAAAATTGAGGTGGCTATTTCTTCTTAACTGAAAAGACACCTATTTCCTCCTAGATTGGTCTTTTACATCATGTAATGCTTATCAAGATCATAGGTTGTGTTTGGTTTGGGGCGGGACAGGGACAAGATGGGATATTCCACTTCGTAGTGTTCGTTTGATCAGACTAGCATACTAGCACAGGTAGTGCACAAGCCCTGTCTCCTCGATCACCACCGTGTGCCGCGACGACATGCGCGACCGCGGGTTGCCCAACCTGGAGAAGAGCAAGTCCCGCACTCATAGGGGACCAGCTCATTCACCATGCCGCGCACCAGTATCGCTGACGCCGCCAGGGCCGCCGCCGTCGTCACCGCCACGACTCGATCACCTTGTCATAGGTCGTCGCCATGGCGACACCTGGCTGGCTGGTATTTCACACCCTCTATCTCTCTCGCTCAACTTTCAGACCCTACAGTTCTCTCGCTCAGAATTGAAATGCCAGGAGGATCGATCGATCGCATCGAAGAAGGGGTGAATGAACAATGATGGTTGTGCACTTGTGCTGTGTTTGAGGCTCCTTTGTCTCTCTTGCTCAACTTTAAGACATACAATTCTCTCGCTTAGAATTGAAATGCCGGGAGGATTGATCAATCGATCACGCCGAAGGAGGGGTGAACGAACAATGTTGGTTGTGCATTTGTGCTACGTCTAGGGCTCCTCTGTCTCTCTCGCTCAACTTTCAGACCCTATAGTTCTCTCACTCCAACCTAGCTCCTCTATCGCCGTCCAAGGCGGCCCCTGAGGCCACTGCACCGCCGCCCCAGCCTCGGTGAGGTCCCCCGTGCCTCCCCCTCCCCCGGCCCCCGGGGGCCCTCGTGGAGCCTTTCGTGGCTATGGTGGCCGGCGAGAAGTTCTCAGCGTTCATCAGGGAAAAGTTTGGTAAGCCTGTTGCCCCATCCTCTATGGCTGAGAGTTCTTTCAACCTGCTCGTCGCCTTAGGAGATGTCGCTCCCGCCTGGAGGACCCATTTGTTGCTGGGGTTCTCAGCTCGATCTTTGGGAGTCCTGCTGCCCATTTCCATGTTTGTCTGGTTGAAGACAGAGTTTTCCTCTTCCTAGCCTCCTATAAGCAAGTGGGCTTTAAAATCTACAAGCTTAGTAAGTTTTTTGTCATGAGTTTGAGCTCAGTTTTAATCTCTTCAATGAAGTTGGTTTAGCTACAGCACACTCGCTCTCTTGTGGAAAGCCGCAGTTTCCATGGGTTGAAGTTGGGCAAAAGCTCTCCTTCGCTGACGCTGTGAAGCAGCCTGCGAATTCACGTTCAAAGGGTAACCCTGCTGCTATTCTCAGCGGAGTGAACCCCATCCCTATTCTTCAAAAGCTGAGTGTGACAGGCTCTCTCAAGTGTACTTCAGTTTTCGATTGCATTGTCTTTTCGAGAGTTTCAGCTTTTGAGCGGCTTTCTTGGCCCAAGTAGTCTACTCAGTCTGATCAAGCAAAGAAGCTTCGCCGGTCAGCTGCCATGAAGCATTTGTAGGGTTCTAATTTCTCTGATAAGCAGCATCGGGTTATTTCTAAAGGTTCAGTTGTGTAGGATCATTCAGAGTCTGGACCGCTGAATTTGGATTTGAATTTGGTTACTTCAAAAGTTATGGCTGGGAATTCATTGCAAAATAGGCAGAGTGGCTCTGTCTCTTTGGTTCCTGTGTGATGCCAGCAGTGCCACTCTTCGGCACACCCAAGGTCTGTATGCAAATCCCCTATTAAATGTGATATCTATGAAGGGTGGGGCCATGTAACAGCCACATGTCATGGGAATTGGAAGAAGCTGCAAGCGAGTGTGAAAGGGAAAAAGCTAGATAACTTTTCTAAGGATTTCGGACCTGGCCTTGATTGCTCTCACTGGTTCAAGACGGTCAGTATGACAGTGGGCCCTTCATCGCCCCCTCGTTTCTTGGACTCTATGAATGCCCCGGGTGACCCTTTGGCTTCCCAAACTATACATCGGACCTTTCCGCCGCTTCCTGAGGCCCGATGCACTATTGAAGAAAACCCCAATTTGCACTCCAGCTTACAATCTCACCAAACTCTAGAGTTCTCATCGTTGGCACCGGCAATGGTGTATTTCCGAGCTGACCCAACGTCGTTTCTCCCTCGTGGGCTGAATCACCTTGATGTTGGTCCGCGGAAGCCAATGGAGAGGGTGGTTTTGATGCGTCCTCTGTGCCAAGAATCAAGACTTGGCCATCGTCTCTATCAACCCGATGTCGGCGCATCGGGTAACCTTCTAGGCAATCCGTGAAGTAGTGACAGATTTCTTGACCAACGAGCAGAATGTAGTCTTCATAGATATGCAGCCCACTCATCTCGGTCAGGCCTACGTTAGGTTCAGAAATGCTTTTGATAGAGATTGGCTTATTAATCATGGTCCTTATATCTTTGGTGATGTCATAGTCACTTTTGTTGAGCACAAGGGTAGAAACTGGCGTGCTATCAACTTTAATAGGGAGTGCTGGTTGCTGTTGATGGGATTTCCACCAGGTTACAGAGAGGATGAATTTGTTGCTAACACAATCAATACATTTGGTAGAGTGCTTTATTGGGTTGATGATGGCAGGCACCTTTCTAGGCTCTTAGTGCGTGCAAGGGTTGTGGATTTTGAGTCAATTCCTTAGTTTTTTGTTCTAACTGAGGGAGAAGGCTTCCAAGGGGAGTCATGGACTATGCAATGCGAGGTCTTGCAGCGCAATCTGCTTGGTGGGCTACCATAGGATGAAGATCCTGCTCCTGACCCGGATGCTTTTCCACCTGGTGGTCCCTTCGATCTATTTGGCTTTGGCTAGAATGGGTCTGGTCTTGTAGCTCAACCCAATCATCAGATAGGCCCCAATCTGCTCCCTGGTGGTGTTGATGGATAGAATAACCCAGTGAATGATGTTGCAGCTGCTGGTAACTGGGGGCATGGCTTGACAATGTCCATAACATTCCCAATTTCAATCTAAATGATGATGTGGTGGATCTTCAGGAGCTTGATCTCAATGTGCAGCCTGATTTATAGGAAATGATTGTGGATCCAGTGCTTATAGGCCCACAACACCATGAGATGCATTTTGATATTAATGAGTTCCTTAATCAAGTTAATGTGGAAGAAGAGGACAATCAAGTGGAACAGGAGGTCCCAACTGTGGATCAAGGTGTTATTGAACCAGCACTGGTCCCACCGGCTGTTGAAGTCAACATCCCTATGGTTAATGAACCTGAGAACTTTCTTCCATTGGAAATTTAGGAGGATGATCTGATGGGAGATAAGGAAATTCTGCAGTAGTTGGATGAGGAAGCAGCCCAAGGAAATGTTTTTGGGCCTCAGAATATTCATGTGGGCTTTGTCTTCACTAACTTTCAGCCTAATCTGTCTGCTGCTAGCTCTTTTGTGTCTGCTGCCTAGCCTGTTTTTGAGGATGGCTCTGGTATGTGGAAAAAGTTATTTGCTCCCTAGCCAGGTGTTGCACAATTTTCTGTTCCTGTTGAATTGGCAAGTTTCTTTACTGCCCTTCTGATGTCCCCTGGTCACTTCGAGAATGCTAAAGAATTTATTCAGTCTGCTAACCTCTACAATATTGAAGGCTAGAATGTTGGTTTCTCCCTACCCATCAATTGTCCAAGCAAAATCCCTCTCACCTGCAAGTTATCTCCTGTGACTGAAGCTAAAGATGCAAAGATAGATGCTAAAGATGCCCCTCCTATGGACAGTGATGAATCAGTTGCTCCTGCTGCTGGGCTAGATCCCACCACTAAAGTTGTCACCAAGAAAAATAGAAAGAGAGCAGCTGCTTTGGTTGAAACTCAAGTGAGAATGAGTCCTAGGGTTCAAAAGAACAAGCAAGGCCTCAAAGACCCTGTCTGCAAGGACAAGAGCTACCTAGGATGCAATTCTACACCACCGCCAATCTCCACAAAGACCATTAGGAAGCTAAGTGCCTCCCTCTATGACATTGAGGCATCCCAAGTAACTAACCTGGTCCTCAACAAGAAGAAAGGTGTAGCACCTATTGGTACTGTGCCTCCCAAGAAGAAGAACAAGGAAGTCAATGATGAGTCCAATGAAGAAGCTAAAGTTTGAAGATAGGCCCACTATTGGGAAGAAGCATTTGAAGATTGTTGGAGGCCTCTTCACCGGCCACCACCTTTTTCTATGCTTTTATGTCTTTATTTTGATGATATGTCAGTCTCTTTGTCTTAAGAACTTTTATTGCTCTTTTGTTTCTGTGGTCGTTGTGTCTGAAATGACTTTGGGGTTTCTATTAAGGCACTCCTTTTATGTACCCTTGTTGTGCTTGGTTGTACTAGTGTGTTTTTTATTTTGCTGGTTTTATGGATAATAGGCAATCTATTAGAACTTGGAAGATCCTCTGCTAGAATATCAGAGGCATTAATTCTAAAACAAGTGGGAGTCACTCAGAAATAAGATCACAGAGAGCAATTGTGGCATTATCAACATCCAAGAAATCAAAAGAAGTAGCTTTGATCTTTGCTACATAAGAAAGTTTTGCCCTAAGTCTTTTGATGCTTTCTCTTTCTGCCTTCAGTGGGGGCCTATGGAGGGATTTTAGTGGCTTGGAAGAGCTGCTTCTTCACTAGTTTTGAGATATTTCAAAATGAGTTTGCCATCTCAGTTGAGTTCTCTTCTCAGTTTAATAATGACTCTTGGATCCTCACCTCAGTGTATGGTCCTTGTGATATTGATGGAAAGAATGCTTTCATGGACTAGTTTAAGAACATTTAGATGCTTGATGATATCCAATGGCTGGTAGTGGGTGACTTTAATTAAATTAGGAAGCCAGAGGATAGAAATAGGCCTAGGGGAACATTGGTGAAATTCTAATGTTCAACAATGCTATCAGCTCTTTGAGATTAGTGGAGATCCCTCTGCATGTCAGAAAGTTTACTTGGACCAACAAGCAGCAACCTCCTCTCCTTGAGAGGTTGGATTGGTTTTTTTCCTCCCAATCTTGGACTCTCAGATACCCTCTCACTCTGGCACACACACTAGTCATGGAGACTTCTAATCATTGGCCCTGTGTAGGTGAGATAAAAACTACCATTCCAAAGCGGAAAGTATTCAGATTTGAAAACTTTTTGATGTCCTATCCTGAGTTTCTGCCACTAGTGACAAGCTCTTGGAATGCCCCCTTCCCACAGCAAGATGTAGCTAAGCTCCTAACTGCTAAGTTCAAGGCCCTCAGGAATAATCTAAAAGGTTGGCAAGCTCAGCTCTCTAGCATGAAGAGGACCATTGCAAATGTAAAGCTTGTGATTTCATTACTTGATTCCGCTAAGGAGTGGAGAGATTTGGCCTTGCATGAATAGAACTTCAAAGAGATTCTCAATCAGAAGCTTACTAGACTACTCCATCAACAGATGGTCTATTGGAAGCAAAGGGAAAACATTAAGTGGGTTCAGTTAGGAGATGAGTGCTCAAAGCTTTTTCATGCCCAAGCAACCTTGAGGCATAGAAGAAATCTAATCACCTCACTCTCTAACCATTCTGGAGCTTTGGTATAGGATCTTTGGTTAGCCTAGAGGGGGGTGAATAGGCCTGTTTAAACAAAACTTGAGCAAAACATAAATTTCAACCTACGGCACTGCCGCTCTGACCCCACGGCACTGTCAAGCTACGGCACTACCAGGTCAGAATAGCGGTACTACCGCACCTGCCGACAACTTCGAGGCACAATTCAAAATCTATGAAAGGAAACTTAGATCAAAGAATTCCTGCAGGTATGTTGTTCACAGATGGACAGCAGAAAGTAGTAGCGCAAGTGTATACAAGTAGATCGACCTCAAACCCTAGAAATCGCCTCAACAATAATATGAAATGCAATGAAGTGAAACAAGCACAAGGTGACACAAGTATTTATTCCGTGGTTCAGCTCGCCACCAAGGCTTGCCTAAGTCCATGTTGTTGAGGTTAGCCACTAAGGCTTAGGGCTTTGCAATCCTTCCTCATTCTCAAGTGTGAGTTTACTAGCTTCAAGAGATGGTTACAAACCTCCTAGGGCTACCACATAAGTTGGCTAGCTCCACAGGCGATGCTCTAGCCGGCTAGGAGCATGCTTCAAGAGTAACAAACACAATCCACTAGCTAAAACGTGAACCAAGTGCTCTTAGGATCTGGGAATCAATGGATCTGCTCTCTAATCGAGTTTTGGAGCCTTTTCTCTCAAGGATTTATGGGGAAATCACAAAGGAATGCTTGGGAGCTCAAGGTCACCGATGGAGAAGAGAGAGAAAGAGCTAAGAGCTGTTGGACGTCGGTCTGCTAGGCATAGGTGGAAGAAGAGCCGTTGGAGAGGGATGGGAATGGTATAAATACCCCCCAACCCCCAACGGTCAGTTAAGTCACGACAGTGCCGTGGCTCAACTGCGGTAGTGCCTCTCTTCGGGTGCGGCACTGCCGCACTAGGCAAGACAGCTAGGGTGAAAACAGTGATAAGCTAGCTGTCTTGGCTGAACATATGAGGATATATGTGTATAAGATTGAGCACTTGGTTGCACACTTTAACAAGTTTATTATGTTCCCTTTTATAGTACGACATTCTTATACCCATTCGAAATATAAAAGAATTTAAATCTCCTTTGAGTTTGAAGCCGTCAACATTTGTAATTGGGGGCTTCTCCATTTTGTATAACATCCTCGATTCTTAGTTTCCTACTTGTCATCTCAGTAAATCTCATTAGTCCTCTAATTGCGTGGTCATTATCACCAAAACCCATAATTAGGGCTTGATTGCACTTTCAATCTTTCCCTTTTTAGTGATTGATGACAACCCAATTATAGCTTACAGCAGATATGAAACATAACTGAAATTTTTCGATCCATGGGTTTAGAGCCTCCCCCTAAATGTGTGAATGGAGAATTGAATTCTCAACTTGGCATAAGAGGCCAATATTCACATCCTTAGTGAAAGTGATGGGGCTCCCCCTACATCCATGCTCCTGTGGGGTGTTGCATACTGTGTCAATTATATAATCGTGATGCTAATGACAGTTCATGCACAAAGAGGTTTACTGAGACAGCTAGGTGCGGCACTACCGCTCCTAAGCCGCAGCACCGCCGCAGAGCGGCACTGCCTAGCTAGTGGTGCGCCACTACCGCACTTACTGCAACAGCTCAGATCATATCAAGGACCATACATCAGTTTATGTATATATAAAATAGCACCCTAGCACAAATATATGACAAGCAATAGCATAGAAATGATACATGTCCATATCCGATACAAATAGAGTACTTAGGTAGCATTATTACACAAATAGAGTTTTGAGCGGCTCTCAAACTCACACCTAACAAACTAACTCTCAACGAATTATGACATGAAGCTCCAGCTGCAGCGACCACCATGGCATCGAAAAGAAAAGAAGTTGACCCCTCTATCCCCCTTTGGCATAAAGCACCAAAAAGAAAAGAAAAGAAGAGAAATCAACCAACTCACTCCTCATCATCATCATGCTCAATGTTCTCCCAATCGATGCCATCACCTCCACGAGCAACCCCACCACCACTGCCATCGTCGTCGTCGGAGTCAATCCTCGCTCGTCCTTGGTGGTGAGTAGTGAAAGTGAAGCGGGTAGAGCGGGTGGAGTGTTTGGCGGTGTGACGCTAAACCTCCACAATCATCGTGTCACCCCATACGTCCAAGTCCTCATCATCGTCCTACTGCTACTGTTGTTCCTCATCATCCTCTGTTTGAAAGATAGTAGTGTGAGTGGAATAGTTGAGATTTGATGACTAAATCCAATCAATATAGAGAGTCATGGATTGAGTGGTACTACAGTCTGTGAAAGCAATACCTGTAGCTTGCGGCACTGCCGCATGGACATAATCCACTCCACCAATGAGTCTCCATATTGATTCAATTTAACCATCAAATCAACCTCCCACCCATCCACACTATTACCAGAAATCAAAATCTATAACCAAGAGACCTCCATAGCATAGATTGGGAAGGATTTAGGGTTTCACCTTGGTTTCACGTGGATTGAGGAGACAAGAGGAGAAATGGCTTCACCCAAGAGCCTCGGCAGCCGTCGGCGATGCAGGAGAAGACCGACAGCCAGCATGGCACCACCGGGGCATGGCACAGAAGTCGCAGCGACAACATGGTGACACGGATGTGCACAGGAGAGAGGGAATGGTGCATCAGGATGAATGGGGAGAGAGAAGAGAAGTAACTGTAGGCCAGAAAGGTAAAGGAGAAGAGATGGCCCCGCAGAAACTACCGTTGTGGGCTGAATTCAACTTGGAATTCAAAGTACGGCACTTCCGCATGCCACTCACGGCACAGCCGTAGGGAAGGCGCGGCACAGCAACACTCCCTAGAACAGGTAGAGTTAGCTACTAGCCAAATAGCTCTACACATATAGGATATGGACACATATCTCAAGCATATTATGATCAGCAACAGATAATCAATACAAGCAATGATCATAATGTACTTGGTAGTTTTGATAAATCATTTTGAAGCACAAAATTTAAACCTTTGCAAATGCTTTTACCTATTCATACTAGTTGATCAAACAAAGGTGTGCTATGATTTAAACCACATTACGAGAATTAAGTATATTTAGCTCACTACACAAAGCACAAAACCTTGACTCATCGAGAGGCTTAGTGAAGATATTGGCTGGTTGCTTTTTGGTGCTCACATGACGAATTTCGATATCTCCTTTGGATTCGTAGTCTCTTAAGAAATGATGTCGGATGTCTATATGCTTAGTTCTTGAGTGGCTTACGGGATTGTTTGCAAGCTTTATGGCACTTTCATTGTCACACAATAATAGAATTTTGGTAAAGTAACATCTAAAATCTTAAAGGGTTTGCCTCATCCAAAATAGTTGAGCACAACATTCACTGGCTGTGACATACTTGGCCTCGGTGGTGAAAAGGCTACACAATTTTGCATCTTAGAACTCCAAGACACTAGGGATCGTCTAAGAAATTGACATGTCCCCGAAGTGCTTTTTTGATCTACTTTACAACCGGCGTAATCAAAATCCGAATACCCAAGTAGATCGAACTTGGAGCCCTTAGGATACCACAAGGCAAGGTTAGGAGTGTGT